TATGACTTGAGACCAATAAAATTTCCGCAAGCCTCAAGACTAGTGACTTGCTTTAACACAAAACTTCCTGAAGTTCCAATGAGAAGTCGCAACAGGTGGTGTAAGCCAAGTCGAATGTGAGGCTAGGTAGTAAACGACCATATAATAATAATGGCCACTTTATTTCAAACAATTTTTGGTACAGTTTGGAATTCTCAGCAAGATATTTTGCATTAAAAAATTTATATGCTTATATATACTCTTTTACAATGTTTCAAATAGTGTTACAAGGACCTAAGTAATGTAAAGAATAGTAATAATGAGAAAGTGTTTCATTGCTAATTAAATTATTGGAATGAAATTCTTAACTGTTACAAAGTTAATATGTGAGTTCCGTTCTAACACATTTTTCATCACATAACATGCGTAGTAGGTAAGGTACAGTCGAATTCTTATACTTAGCTGTATCAGCGTACATTCCTGTGTAATGTCTTATTGTCCTCCTTCAGGAGATACAAGAAGAAAGCGGTGAAGGAAGTGGACGCCTAGTGTCGGTTAAAATCACTGCAGCTTGTTGCTTGCAAGAATTTAAATGTTTGTCGACCACAGTGGTATTCAGTTGGGCCAGAGGTTTAGCATTCACTCTACTGACGGTTTTCGAAGACTTACGCAATATAACATGGACCTGTTTTACTAGGCCAGCAAGGATCATGGGGAACAACAGAGAAGAATGAGCAAAATGCAGGAATTAAAAAATTGTAAAAGTAGAGGTTGAGTTATATCAGAGAGCCTCAGCTCTTTTATGCAGTACGTACTTCATGCTGAAATTAGTGCTGATGTCGTCTAGAAAGACGACGAAAACTCCACAACTAAATAACTCAGCTCAGAGAACACAAAGATCCGAAGCAAATCTCAATCCAAGATAGTTAACACTCGATTTACTTACCATCAGTCCAACAGAAGTCATGGGACTTAAGCAGTTCATACAAGCCTTCTTAACGCCAGAGGCTAAAATCAAGAGTCTGGCATTTAGAAGAGTTTAACTAAAGACCACTTGAGAGAGACCATTGGCTGATTACAGCCAACGATCCACTTACTTCTGAGCAATCTGGTAATTGACTAGGATGAAAACTGTCAGGTCATTAACATACCTAATAAAATTAATTCTAATAGGACAAGTTAGGTCATGCAAAAAGAAAGAAAACAGAAACGGAGAAAGCACTTCATACTGAGGCACATCAACTTCAGTAAACAATGAAGTGGTGTCTCCCTTTATAGATAGTATACTGCTTCCTTACAGAAAAATAGGAATACAGTCAATTTATAGCCCATGGCCCAGTACGAGCCAATATGTTTTCTGTCATATCACTGATAATCTAAACGTTATCAAGCATTATTCTCAAAATTTCTACTTGTAAGTAAGAAATAACAGGGGTAAAGCAACTAATACTAGCTGATAGTTGGTTCTATAATTTTGTTCAAATAGCCATTGAAGTTCAGACTGTATGCAGCCAGTGAATGTAAGTGATACAATGTGACGTCATTTTACTCTACAAATCTAGTTCTCCTTAGTTAGTTCAAATTTATAAAGGTAAATGAATGCATGAATTCCCTGACAGAATTATAGCTATTGAGGTTAGCAAATGATTCGAATAATATTTCACTCCTAATTAATAAATATTTTCACATAGGTTACAGCTAAAGTTGGAAAGCTGGATTAGGAACAAATAGGTGGCGGTGATATTCATCATGTGAATTTGTATTGGATTCAGTGACTAGTATGCCATTCGTGGTTCTTCATTCAATGACTAAACTGAAATAATGCTAACATCGAACACTCATTTCCTCATTTTTTGCAAGTAAATCGAATGCAACTAGTTTTTTTATAAAGTGATGAGATATGTTGCTGCTGTTACTGGAGTGTTTAGGAAATTATTCGAAATGAATATTATTTAAAGTGGATTAATACAGAGAGAAAAAGTCCAGTTATCCTGAGTGTTCAATTAAATAGCATGGGCGACAGCTTCTACCTGGAACCTTCCATTTTAGTCTATTTATTAGAAATATCACATACTGAAACAGTAGCATTTACTGGATAACGTCTCGAACACAATTTATTGTCCATATTCATATCAGGCAACTCCACAACTTCGAGACAGAGTTTATATATTTCTAATTTTCTCTCCTTCTCTGTGATGACAGGGGTAGTAGATTTTTCCGTATATCTGGGACAGGTGCAGAGTCATTTTGACTCCATATATTTAATGTTGATTCGATAAACGAATTCGGTTATCAGTCTCTCTTCACGCCTAAGTTAGTTTTCAACATTGTCGGTCTATCCCAACCCTACTGTGTGATTGTGTGTCATTGCGTGCAGAGTTATAGCCGAGCTTTTTTCTAAATTGTGTCATTGTCGCTTTTCTTTGATGCTAGGCTTAGATAGATACTGTTGACTTAAGTGTGGTGTCGATTATCCCTCAAGAACCTATTTATGCTGACTACTATAACTCTGAAGTAACATCTCAACGATCCATCTACTTTAACACCAACAGGAATATGATGATGGTTAACGCTTTTTATGCCATTGAAAAAGAGTAATCTTTTTGTCTCCAACTCAGGCAGAAAGTGTTTAGCCTTTTTGGCTCGCTTCGGCCATACACATACTAAAATTGAAACGATACAGAGAAGATAAGCATGGCCCCTTCACAAGGATGGCACGCAAAATCGTGAGGCATTGCATATTTTCCACGTCTAAACGACTCAGTTCAGAGAATCCTATGCAACCAAGAGTATACTGTGCATCATTGCTGCAAGTTTCTTTGTTCATCTGATCATTATCTGCTTGTACTCTCGAAGTACTAAGTGTATACTAACTGATACGCTGAGTGAAAATATATCGTCCAGTGAAATCCGGTGACTGCAGTAAACTTACTGAAAACAGTCATCATTTGCTAGATAAATCTTTGTGACTGAGTAACTAACTGAATTTTGAACTTTCTTTTAACTACTTACTGACAAAAATCCATTATCTTCATCGCTTTCAAAATGCTCATCCTTCCTTTTTGCTAATAGCTTTGGTTTTCGACGAGTGAATGGAGTCAAATGAATCACAGACACTGAACTATGAAAAGATTTGCCAATGTGACTCGGAATAATAACTTTAATTTTCATCTGAAGGACTGAATTTTTGTGGATAACTCTCCCAATCCATGTTATCATCGTAAAATAGTCCTTGCCCTAAGTGCCTTTGATAAATAGCAGCTTTAGGATGAAGTACAGATGTTTGATCTTGTTCAATACTCATGAGCCTAATTCACCTGCTTCCATTTTCCTGCTCCTAATGGGACTTGAATTCATCACCTGACAGATGGCTAAGTTTTGAAATGCACACCACCTTAGCTGATGGTAGATAACTGACAGGAAGCCTTGCACTTTTATTTTGTACAGATTGACAGTGGTCAGCAAGACGTTTCTCAAAACCTTGAGAGAACTGATGACCCCTATGTTGTTCAAACCTGAAATATCTAGCGTTCAGTCATCTGCATTATCCCTGAGGTATTCAGACTGCTACTGACCTTATGTGAGACTGGAATAGATACATTGGTCGATCATGAGACAGCAACAAATTTCATGTTGTCTAGTGCTAAGTGGTGACCCAATTCTATTGATCATTTTTCAATGCTACTATCAAGCTATCAGGTTAACCTTTGTAATGCACTTTGAAGGTGGTCGAAAGTGGTCCAGATAGCTCAGTAGGAGCTTCGACGACTGCAATATTGTGTGATTCGTATTCAGATCTCATAGCAGTCATCATTTCCTCCAAGGTTTTTAGATATGACTTGCTGACGAGTATTAACAAACACAAAACGTGGTTGTATGACTTTCTGCCAACTATCTCTATCCAAATACTCTGCATCCGAATGTATCGCCATGGTGGACCTTTTGGTTTGGTGGCTGAATCACAACGTGTTTGATAGAATTCAGTCCATATCCAGGTCTAAATGACATGGAATTGGCTGCTCCCCAATGATCAGTCAGTGCAAACGAATGCAGTGTTTCAGGGATGTCATCTTTTTGATTTTTCCTTCCTGTTGCTAATAAACAAGAATGAATTTCTCAGCTCTTAGAAGAAAGAAGGCACCTGCTAAAAAGTGCGTAGATTGCAATGAAGAGTTTTTAAAAGGGATAATGTAGCATTCTAGGTCTCAGCCATACCCATCACTGAACGCAATCATGATTTCAGTTCTGGTGATGTCAGCATATCAAAACAAAAAGCTTATATACCAAACAGGGTAACTCAGTTTAATCCTGTTCATCCACAATGAAAGAATTAAAAACTGTAATACGGTCAGTAATGATCTACCGCAGTTTTACCAGTACTTCGTTCAAACTGTCCTTCATTTTCGCAATCAGCAACGAAACATTTGCTACACCTTATTGGCTTTCCCATGATAAAATTATATTCTGATGAAACTGGTTTAAAAATATTCGCACTTATGCACGAAATAGGACGCAGTGAACAAACCTTCAATTTTTTAGTCAATATAACTTCTTAACTGTCATGTTCCCAAAAGTTCTCTTGAATATCAGCAAACATTGTAAAACTACTAGAAATTTGCGATAGAATAAGTTTCGATAACACACTTGCATTTACTAGGAATGCTTTTTCTCCTGAATATAATGCACCTTATTTACAAATGTCCTTAGCAAAAGAGCTCGCATTTTAGTTTTGTACAAGTCGTATGCTCTAGTGAGTGCTTGTACGTATATACCAATACTAGTTTTGTAATTTATCCAGAACTTGACGGTCACGTCTTTTAATTATTCACTGTGAAACATTGTTCACTGCTTAGAAGTCAATATTCTCCACGTAAACACTTGGCTTCCTCAGTATTCATGTATGATTTCAAAGCATTACATCATGTTTTAATTTCCTTTAAATTTTCAGATTACCCTTTATGGAACAATAAACCCACTGATGTATTCAACACACTAACTCGTTGACTATCCAGTAAACAACAATGGTTGGTACATCGCACACCCCTGGTAAACCCGGTGATTTAATCTGCTTGTGTATTGGTGGCCGTCTTTTTGTTACTAGGAGAGCGACACTTTATCGTTTACCAGATAGTCGATTGTATTTAATCGCTACTCAAGGAGCAAGCAATCAAGAACCTAGTGTCAATTGTACTAATCAGGCACATCCAAGCGATGATTTCATCAAACCAATGAATGACAGTTCTGGATTAAGTTCTAATTATTTATCAGCATCGCAAGCGTCTGGTAGAGTAATGGGAAATGGACCGAATGAAGGTGCTTTAATTGGTGGTGCATCTATTCTACCGGATAATATAGCATCTATGCTTGCAGGAAATATGAATTTGCAATCAGCTTCTTCAATATGTAGAAATAGAGGATCCGGATTTACAAACCTTTCATCAAATCCTTCTCATGGAATCGAATTGAGTCGACCAATTAATGCACCTGTTTCTCCAGCATCATGTAGTCAATTTCCTTCACTGCCCACCCCTGTTGTAGCTACACCTCCAACTGTTTACTTTTATGACAGAGATCCAGAAATATTTCGTTTTGTGCTCGATTATTATAGAACAGGTGAACTTCACTTACCTTCAAGTATTTGTGGTCCATTTGTGCGTAAAGAGTTAATATTCTGGGGGATTGATGAAGCTTTGATCGGTCCTTGTTGCATGCCTGCATACATGCGTTATGATGAAGAGAAACGAACAAAGAACACCTTGTTTCGTGATTGTTTTGAAGATATTGACTCTATGCAAAATCTTGTAAAATTTTCAAGAGGTTGGAAGAAATGGAGATATCGAATGTGGTTGTTTATGGATCATCCAACTTCTTCTCTAGCAGCTAAGGTAAGTAAGGAAAACCTACTTTTTTCACTTGTATGTCCCAGTGACTTAGCTCTTTCTCAACCCACTGGTTTAAAAAATTAACTTTGACTTTTAAGCAGCAAAGCACTTCAAGCTAAACTATGCATTGTAAATTTCCTGCAATTTGAATGACTTCTGAACAAGACTAAGTATTAGTGATAATCACTTGTTTGTTGGCTGACTTACTTACGTTGTTTTATCGAAAAGGTTTTATCATCTTAACATAGACCCTAATCTTTGGTAACTCCTTATCATAACTTATAGATTGAGTCTAACTCGAAACGTTCTGTGATCATCTTCAAATCAAAATTTCATGCTCTGAAAAATTGTCTAGTAGATTATGATTCACTCTGATGAATATTTCCGCATACTTCTAGTCACTAAGTTATCCGTGTTTGTGGTGCACGGCGTTTGATCACTGAGTGGCTCTCACGTCTGTTTGAAGCAGTGACTATGAGAAGCTTACATTTAAGACACATTGTTGTTTGAATTCGAGAATGGAGAACACCAGTTCATTGCAATGCTCGCAGTGAGTCATTCATTTTCAGAAGAAATTAAGATCATGTCCATGCACATTACTTCATAAGTTACAGATTGTATCACAAGATGAACTCAAGGTACACAATTGAAGCATTCATAAGCTTATATTTGAATAAGTCGGTTTATTTTACTCTGTGAATTACTGACCTAAAAATTCTAATTTCATTTCTTAAAATGATGAATTAACAAAGCAAACTACTTTTTGAGACATCAAAAAGAAAGGATTTATCTTTCTGCAACTTCACATAATTTTTAAAAAAATAACTCAAGTCACAGCACTCAAATCGGTGTCCTTTTCTTATTGAGGAACTACAGTGAAAATCTTTTGAACTGATAAGTACGTGCTAATGTCTAACTCTTACAGGTGCTTTATTTTCTTTTAGAAATACTTCACAAGTATTCAACAGTTTCTCGTCTTGTCAAGTGACTCTTTGAGTCACTCATAATCGCTGCTATCATTAATTACCATAGCCATATTGGCTATTTAAAGAGTTACTAGAGTGACGTTTGGAGTCAATGGTTTGATCATCTAATTTTTAGGTACAAGAACAAACTCTTGTTCCACTGACTAGCTATGGTAGAAAGTTAGACGTACTTTACCTTTTCTCTTTTGTTCAGATGTGAACAACTCCATTCATTAGTAATTAATTTTGACGTGAAATTAAGCCGATAGAACGCAATTCCTTTATGAAGATGAAATATATCTGCTAAGCAGCTTGTGTTTCATAGTAAAATAATCAGCCATTGTGAGGAGATGAAAAAGATTGGCTACTTTTACATCACGTAACCTCAACTTCAGAGAACGAACAGAAATTTAAAAAGAAGACATGACATTAGACTGCCAACAAAAGTCCTTCATCATTTTATCAGATATGTAACATTTTTATCTATTGAGTCCTACTTTAGAGAATTAGGATACTGTTTAAAATTAAATTAAATAACCTTGTACTAGTTTTGTTCCTTGTTTGATTTGTCTAAAAATCAGCTACATGATTTATTACCTTTAATATGGCACTACTTAGCAAAGTGTTTACTCTTTTTATTGATAAAATTCCTAGACTGTAAGAGATTATCCCACCTATAACATTTACTACATAGTAAAAAGAATATTTGATAAGACTTCTCATTTCTAGTAGGTTAAAATTTGGGTGGAAAGACTGAAATGGACCACCATTTTGAAGGAAGTAGAAATCTGACCCTCGCCCTTCACTCATTCACCACCAGCTAAAATTGTAATAGACTTGAAATGTGAACAGCCACCGGATAATATACATTAGATATGATTATGAAATAATTTCAGTGGATCATGAATATCAATTCCTACCTACCCGTGTTCGTGGCCTGCACTGTATTACCCTATAGGAAGCAGCATCGGAAACTTTACGTAGGATCCTCAACAAAGCTGGAATTAGAGTGGCATTTGAACTTAGAAACTCACTCAGGGATAAACTTTATCGGCTGGCTTAAGGACCTGATATAAACAATTCAGCACAATAATTTAATTTACCTAATTTCATATAATGACTGCGAGGTTAAGTACATAGGTGAAAATAGCCAGTCAGGGTCAGTTAGATTACTGAAACACAGGAATTTAGCTAAATGTAGAATGGCGGACCCAAATAAGATCAGTAATCTAGACAAATCTATGCTATTGTAATCCATGCATTAATATACAACCAAACAACAGGGTAGGAGAAAACAACTGTACGTAAATCCAGTGTAATTGGGTAGCGAAAGAGATTGGTTACTGAATCTTTCTTCATCGAGTCAACACTCAACAGATGTAATAGGAATGATGCAATACCTACACCAGAGATATGGAAAACTTTACCGCCAATAAAAACGGAGAATTTGAGATGACGCGACTATAAAAACCAGATATCGACAGAAGTGTGATGATAATGATATGATTATGAGCAATAATTTATGCTCGAAAAGTCTCCAAGTAAATAATACTGCATCACTTACTGTGTGTTATAAATCAAATAAAAAAACTAATATGTAACTGATGAAGTTCACAGGTAATGTTTTTAAAGTGAAATTTTTGGTATCCATTATAAATACCATTGTAACTCAAAAATCTGAAATCTTAGGTAGAGTGCATTGACTTAATAACTACAAAAATTCATGGTACAGTAGTATGTGAAACAGCTAACACAAAGAGAGTATGATTTGAAGTAATCACAGAATAATAAACCAAGTAGACGGAAATTGTATAAAAGATAACAAATGACTGATTATTTTCACCTCAGTTCTTTTTGATTTCTGGTCACCATCTCCATAATGAATTGACTGAGACTACAGCGAAAAAAAAGAAAACTAGAGAGGAATAAAAACAGAAATTCTCAAGCTAAAAGTATCATGAGATTGTGGATTCGCAGTCTTGAAGATTCATCAACATAAATTTAAACAACTATTCTGTAATTTGTGACACTAGTGACACTAGTATGACTCCATTTGGCAATGGAAATTCTTTATTTAATAAAGAGATAGGTTTGCGTTTCATTTCATTTCAAAGTTATTAGTTATAATCCACTTTTTTAAACTAAAAATCACTCTCCTCTTCATTTCCATATTTTCATAAAACGATTTTATAGCTAAAAATAATTTATGTTTATTGAATTAACACAGTTTTATTATTACTCTCCTAGTAATTTGTCGTTTATTGAGAACTAACTATAGGTAAAAGAATTTTACCATTCTAAAAATGAACAAGGCTAGAGATCAGACTGATAGAAGTTTGCAACACGAATAGGCAAAAAGCAAACTTCTCACTCAGTGTTTAAAAAGGAGATAAGAACTTTCCGATACATTTTATAATAAATTCGCTTTATTACCGACTACAACATGTACTTAAATCTCTGTTGGTTTAATTTTAATCTGTAATACTATTAATATATAGCTGACGACTAAATCAGATTCATTACCTTTAATTACTAATTTATCAGCTGTTTGAATACTGTCAACAATGCAATTGGAGTAAATCGACTGGCGTCACACAGCGCTCGAATGACCGTCGAATTACCGAGTTTTTTTAAGTGAACATGCATGAAGAAATTGACTACATTGATGAGTCTAGAAACTAATAAAATCAAACAAGTTTTAATCGTTTAAAATTACTAAATAAGCCGCGAAATCCACTTGCCGCCTCCATGTTTATTTCGTTTCAACTACCATGGTATTTGCCTGGCTGTCTTGTGAATCCGTGATAGGTACTTAATAGTTCATCGAAATCATAACCAGGCCAGCAAGTTGGAGGCCGCTGGTTTAAATCCTGTCGCTACCGAAATTTTTATTTACACCTTTAATCATCACCTAATACTAATAATGCTAGTCCTCCTCTTGCCTGCTATCTTATATATAACCACAATAATATCATTATTATTATTGTCGAAACTGACAGGTTTCAGTGAATAAAGGGAGAATCCCACTAAATGATTATAGGATACTGTATAAGATTTAGCACATTAAAATGTACGGCAACTGCATGAAAGTATTTTCAAAACAAAGGAGTTATTGTTATTACTTCTATGAAATCTGGGGTATATTCTTGTCATCACATCCGAAACATTAAGTGCGTAGCACAGAGTCGTTCAATAATATTTTTAAGGCACTATGAATGAAGAGCATATGATATGGCAGCTTTTTATGTTACTTATTCATATGAAGAGAGAAAAACCACCTAAACCAAACAGCGAAGCTACCAGATGGAAACCGTGCAGATTATTCACCTGGCTTCTTGATGCCACTTTGGTATAGAATATGTCAGAATGTTCGCTATAAAAATCTTAGTTTCTAAAGGAAACCAAAGCAAAACTTCACAAATGTGCTACATTGATTCATCATTTTCACTGCGAAATAAGAAACTCTAGAATACTTCTCACCATATGTGATAATTTGTAAGAGAATATGAACTGTAGGATGCAAGTTGACTTTGCTACTGCAGTAAGTTGACTACAGTACCATTCCCAATGCAAATCAGCTGTTCATATATCTTTAGTGAAAACTGATGTATGAGTGGGCTGCGTTGCAGAGAGCTTTTTTATGTCAAGCTAGAATAGCACTTGACAATCGGAAAAATCTAGTAGTAACCATATTTTTATCTAGCTCATTCATTATTTCAACTGATACGTATTGTTCTCTTTGTTATATTTCGTGAAGCACAGTTATAGGATATCATTGAATTTGATATTTACTGGAATAAGTTGTTATCTAACAGCAAAGTTATAAGCCATCCATATAAACCTGTTGTTCATAACCAAAACATCTGTTGAGACTACGAGTAGTCCTATTTCTTCACACTTCATAGCATCCTTCAGCTAAGTACCTTACATTGTCAAAGCACTTTGTAGATAAATGTTCAGTATGAGTTCCGGTCAATCTGATATAGGACCGTAGTACTGTGTTCATCTAGTTTCCTGGCTCTAACCAATGAATAACTT